CCCCAGCTCCCCACCCCTCAAATTGGAGGCATCTCCCAAGCGTGATGTGGCCTTCGGTGTCCAGAGGATTCCCTCCAGCCCCACCAGGGCTGTCTTCACCTGTTCTGTCCCCTAGGTGTAATCCCAGCAGACTCTTCCCTGGCTGTGCGACCTTGGGTGAGTAGCTTCACCTCTTCTGGGCCTCAGTATTTTGACCGTGTGAAAGGGGTGGGAATCCCGCTCTTTGTGAACTGCACGGAAGGATTACGTGAGTTTGTACCAGCAGGAGTCTGAAAAAAGGCAGCTATGGTAGGGGTTGCAAGGAAGAGCCCTGGGGCTCCTGCAGGGGCTGGGGGCTCCTAGGTGTCCCAGCTTACAAGGATGTTCCCCCTGAAAGAGATCAGCCCTTGCAGGGCACTAGGGTTTTGCCTTTGGGGTGCCGGCATCAGTGGGAAGGGAGACCCAGATGAGAAGGCGCAGCAGGAATTTAATCTGGGATCTGGATCTGTGCATGGCCTTAGGGCGCTGTGCACCACCCAAAACCACAGGCAAAACATTGTGTGTCTGGCCACTTTTGGGGGAGGTACGGGGGCGGCATCCCCGCCCTGCCCCGGTCTCGGGCGGGGACCCTGCAGGTGCCCAAGCTCAGTGCGCGCTGCCGCCAGCCCGCCAGCAGAGGGCGCTCGGCCCAAGGCTGTGAAAAGCGCAGCTCCGGCTTGGTTGGTGGCCGCCGCTGGGGGAGCTGAGGCCCTCCTGCCACTGAGGCCCTCCTGTCACCGAGGCCCTCCTGCCACCGAGGCCGGCCAGAGCGTGGCGCTGGGTGAGGGCGCTGCTGGGCTCACAGCCACGCTGAGGTGCACTGGTGCCCGGGGTGCCCGGCTGGGGGCAGCCCTGGACATCGCAGCGAGGAGGGGGGCTCCTCCACACACAGGAGGAGTTTTTAAAAATCCACCTGCCCGGGCCCCACCCCTAGAGAGTGTCCTCCATGGGCCTGGGGTGCGCCCGGACATCAGCATTTCTTAGATGCTCCGTGGACTGAGAGTCACAGTGTAAGACCTCATGGTGAGCTCCGTGCATGAGGGGTTGTCCTTATTCTGCCCATTTTATGGAGGAGGAAACTGAGGCTCGGAGTTGCTGGGACTCACCTGAGGTCACAGTCAGGTTACACCTGGGGCTGCGACAGCACAGCCCACTTACTCTTTTATCTCCGTGGTGCTGATAATGAAAACAGCGTCACCTGTGGTGGGCTTTCTCCACCTGGCTCTGTGGACATTTTGGGCTTCGTGACTCCGTTGTGGGGGGCTGTCCCACTTCAGTGTGGTGGCTGCATGATGCCCCCCAGTGATGTCCATGCTCTGATCCCCGGAGGCTGTGACTCTGTCACCTTACTCAGCGATGCGGACTTCGCGGACATGCCTAAGATCTTGAGGTGGGGGGTGGTCCTGGTGGTCAGGTGGACCCCATAGCGTCACAGGGGTCCTTAGAAGAGGAAGGAGGGCGAGAAAGAGACGGAGATCGGAAGATGCAGTGACGCTCGATTTGAGGGTGAAGGACGGGCCGTGAGCGGGGAACGCAAGTGGCCTCCAGAAGCTGGAAAGGCCGGGAGAAGGATTCTCCTCTGGAGCCTCCAGAGGCCTCCTGCCCTGCCGAAACCTGGGCTTCAGTCAGCGAGGCCCATGAGGGACTTCTGACTTCTGGCGCTGTAAGATCGTTTGTTTGTTTGTTTTAAACCACTTGATGGCAATTTGTTACAACCGTGATGGGAAACCACTTCCTCCCTCTGCCCCTGTGACAACCGGAAACGTGTCCGGACTTGCCCCACGGCGCCGGCAGCGGGGGGAGGTGGGTAACGTGGGCCCTGGTGCTGGAGCCCGGGGCCAGACCCTGCAGCGAGCGTTCTGCCAGCCGCAGCCCCCCACCTTCTCTGACCCTCCAGCAAACCTGACTTGATTGCCTCCCTGGCCCATTCTGCAGATGAGAAGGCTGAGGCTCAGAGCTGTGACCTGGGCACCCGGGGATGAGGTCACACAGATAGGGAGGGCCTCTGCGTCCATGCACCCCCACGTCTCCCACCGGGAGGCAGAGCTGGCTGTGCCACCCCTAGGTGACCTTTTGGGGTTTCGAAGCCCAAGTGAGGGGCAGCCGGGCCTCCATCCCCTCACCTACATCCCTAACCTCTGGGCTTTGTGGCCTTTTCAAGGCCGGGCTGCTTCTCCAGCAGCTGGTGGAGACCCTGCTGATGGCAGCAGAAGACATAGGGTCCCAGGTGGGGGTGGGGAAGGGAATGAGCGAATGTGTCACAAAAAGTGAAGCCAGGCAGTGAGAGCCAGGCTGGGGTTTGAGCCCCAAACTGTTTCTCCAGCATCAGGTGTCAGAGCTTAGGAGCCCAGTGGCCTCAGTTCCAATCCTGTCTCTGCCCCTTGGGCAGTCGTCTAACCTTCCTGAGCCTGTTTACCTCTCTGGGCAATGGGCTCCTGAGGATCACCCAGGGCTGGCTACCCTTTTTTCTCCAGTTTATTTGCCCGGGAACTCTTAATTCACAGAACCTCTTGCAGGAGGAGCTTTTCACAGGATACAAAATGCTGGTTCTGTCCCCTCTTTTCATCTGCTGTGGCATGGCTTCCCATGGGTCGGGTGGCATTCTGGCCTCATTTATCAGAGCGAAGAGGCTGGTGGATGTGAGGGTGCCTCTGGACCATGGGTGTATCATTAGGGCTGGAGAAATGTGACTCAGAATCTGGAAGGCTCGGTCCCAGTCATGGGCTCCACTTACAAGTTTGGGCAAGCATGTGACGCATGCTCAAACAATCAGAACCCTCCTCGGGACATTCTACCAGCAGCATTTGGCTTGAAGAATTCTCTTTCGGCTGGGGTTGCTAAACTGGCAAGCCCTAAGCCTTGGGCAGCGAGAGAAGAGAGTTTCTCAGAGAGATGGAGAGAAAGAAGACTGAAAAATAATGCTTGAGCCCCTGGAACCAGCCATTCCTGAAGCTAAGTATCTCTTGATTTCCCAGTTGCATGAGCAAATAGATTCTTTTTTTAAGCTTAGGTGAGCTAAGTTTCTGTCACTTGCAGCCAAAATGCTCCTGAATTACTCCCTAGACCCTTTCTTGCTCAAAGCCTCTGATCTTGGCTGCCTGCTAAAGCCCCACAGGTGAGGAGTCCCACCTGGGCTCATCCTGAGACTAGCAGAGAGACTGGGATGAGAAAATAGAATTGCATTTGTGAGCAGGTCATGGTGATTTGGGAAAATCACCTCTAACTCTCATGGAGCAAACTGCCCCCGTTCAACTCTGGGGGCCGCAAGCTCTGTTTGCACATATCATGGCAGAAGGGAGGGTGGGTGGCTGGGGACCTAGCGAGAACAAAGGGCTGGGGGATGGACGGACTTAATCATTCCCTGCTAGCTAATGGGAGCTAGTTAATTTCCTTCCTGAAGAGACCAGCGGTGACCTTCACCTCCAGCCCCCATTAACAGCTGGCAATGCTTTGTCAGCATGTTTATGACAAATTAATTTATACAGAGAGAGGAAATCTCGCAGAAAGAGGAGTATTCGGCTGGGGCTGGAGATGAGGGCTGAGGCTGAGTTCGGAGCTGCATTTGGATCCTCCACTGACATGGCCTGGTTAACCACAGACCTTAGGCAAACTTCAAGGCGAGCAGTTTCCAGCTCACCGCAGAGGAAAGACAATGCCAGGAGAGTGAGCCAAACCCAATTTCAAGTCCCTTTTACCTGCAGGCATGTTGCAAACCGGATGTCCCCTGAGGGAATGATTTGGGGGCCCCGGGTCAACATAGTGGCAGAGATAACTTTGCCCCCAGTGGGCAGGCAATTCCAGCCCCCTCCTAATGAATCCAACTTCCTTGTCATGTGCACCTGCCCAGTCCTCCCTGGAAGACGGGTGCGGGTGGGGCTCGTACAGAGCGCAGGGTCAAGTCCAAACTCCCTGGGGCACGTGGTCCGGCACCTGCTTCTCTCCAGCCAACCTCCCACTGGTTTTCTTTGCTGTGCGCTTTCCACTGACACCCAAACGTTTGGCTGTGGTGCTCTGAATAAGTCATCTTGCTCTGATCATTATGCGTTTGCCTGGGCTGTGCCCCTGCCTAGAATGTCATCCCCATCCCAACCTACCTCCCTCTGCCAGATGTGGAAGAGTGAGCTCTCGGGTTTTCTCCTCCCCCATGGAGGCTCCTGGACCCTCCAGGCAGTGGGTGGGCCCCTGTTCTGTCCTCCCTTAATTCCCGAACAGGACCCCTGTTGATGCCCACCTCTCCCGCCGACCGTGAACTGCGCACCGCGGGGCAGGGCTTTGTCTCCCTCCATCGGGAGCCCCCGGGCGTGGTCAGTGAAGGGGCCTGTCCGGCACACACCGGGGGTACATGCAGAGTGAAAAGACAAGGCTCCTGTGCGTAGTGACTTCACTGGCTGGTGCTGGGGGAAATGCAGTGGACTTCTGAGCTTCTCGCCGGTCCGGCAGCATCCCCTTTCTGTAACTTTAGAGAACTGCCCATCCCTTGCCCTTAAGCCAGGTGACTGGGGGTGGCTGACCCCCATCCTGGTGCCAGGGATAGATCATGTGATGCCAGCCGGCCAATCACAGCATTCAGTTGCTCTGGCCAGTCACCAGCTGAGAGGTGGTCATGTGACCAAAGCCATCCAACTTGGCTTTTGCCATTGGGAAGAAGTATTCTCCTTCCACTGAGCAACAAAGTCGGTGGCATGGAGGCCTGGAGGCTCCAGGGGCCATACTTGCCAAGGGAGGCGAGCAGAGCAGAGAAATGCAAAGAGGGAGGCTGAGTCCCAAGACATTGTCTGACTTCCTGGGTGGAGACATTCCTGAAGCAAGTTTATACCTGGACTTGTCTCTGTTAGAAGAGCCAATACATCCCCTTTTGTGCAAAGTGGGTGCAGCTTTCAGCCGTCTACAACAAAATGAGTCCTGATGAATAGGGAGAGACGGGCGAGTAACGTGGCAATGGCAGGGCAGTGAGACACGGGTTTGACGGGGACACAGGAGCCTCAGGGGCAGAGACACAGGCTGGGCGAGAGCCTGGCAAGGTTTCCTGGATGAGGCCACGTCTCAGCTGAGACCTGCTGGCTGAGTAGCACCGAGCTAAGGAAAAGGGGCGGCAGAGGTGAGCGGGACATGCCACACTGGGAAAGTAAAATCAGCTGGAGCTGACTTCCACACTGAGGGGACAGACACATCAGCTCATCTAACAGACACGTGCAAAGAAGCAGGAATGACCGGACCCAGGGGCTCAAACAATGCCTTAGGGCTCCCCTTGAAGGGACATACCATAAGCGCTGTGTATTTGTCCAGGCACTGATCAACGTGTCGAGGATCTCAAGATCCTCCCAGTCTCATTGAAAAGAGACAAAGGGCTGTTCAGTGACATTCTTTACTGAGGCTCCGTGATAAGCCAGCCCTTCCTCCACGAAGGCAGATGCTAGCCCCAGGAAACATGGCTCCTGGGCATTGGACAGCCATGGTCCAGAGGAAGATACACAAAAGAGAGTGAGGTACAGGTGTGGCACTGGGAGGGCTCGTGGGCACCGAGCTGCGTGTGTGTTACGGACATAACAAGTGGACGATGTAAGTCCTCTTCCGCAGTGGCCCTGCCTGGCTGACCACTCTATCCTTCTCTATCTTCCTCCCTTCGTCCCTTCCCCAGTGTCCCCCAGACCCCACCCCACTCCTTTGTTCTGGAAATGCCACCGTGCCCACAACCCTTCCGAGGGAACTGAGTCCACCCACAAGCACCATGTTGGTGTATGACAAGCATCCCCTGCTGGTTGGCTAGCAGAGGTCACCTGACCCGTGGGCCGGCCAGTGACTTCTGCTGGGGCCTCGAGGGGAGGGATTTGTTCTCTGGAAGTTCAGCTAAGAAATCCTGAGAGATCAAAGTGGAGGTAGGAAGGTTCTAGAAAGGTCAGGTGGGAAAGAGGTCAGGCAGCCATAATGGGCCTTGAGGAAGTCAGGTCTTGAGTGAGAGAAGAATGGGCAGCCACGATGGAAGGTGGGCCAAGGAGGCAGTTGGGACAGACGTGCCTTTGCCCAGCCCCAGGCCAGGCCCGGCCCGAATGCTGACTCTCACTGGCCATGTGTCAGGAGGCAACAAGGTGGAAAACAACATTTATGAAACACAGAAAGCACAATACCAAGGGCTCACTGGTGTTGCTCTTCCTGAGAGAGCCTAGCTGTTTGTTCTGGACTCCACCTGCTGCTGGGAGTCCACGTCTGGGGTTCTGTCCACCCGGCCACTGTGTCTTCCGCAGTTCGGGGATCCCTGCTTTCAAGAGTCACAGCTTCTAGGCGGGAGATGAAGGTCAAGATGCCATCATTGCTGGGGGAGTCCTGGTCACGGTCGTGAGGGAACTGGCTTCCAGGCGCTGCACCTTCAGAGGGAGGATCCTGAGAAGAGAAGATGTTGCCAAAGGGACGCATGGGCCCCTTGCCTCAAAGAACCAAAGCGCCCTGGCTCTCCGACGCCCTGTCTTCTCTCACCTGGACCATGCTCCCGAACCCCCTCAGACCCCCTTTGTTCTGTCCCCTGACTGTCTTCAGTGAGACTTTAACACTTGCTCCTGCTCCAAACCCGGCAGGGGCTCCCCGGTGCACTTAAAATAAGATCCAGACCTTTCTCCTGGGCTTCCTGGCTCTGAGAGACCCAGCCCTGGCTCGCGGAACGCACTCCCTCTTGCTCCCTGGGCTCCTGATGATTCTGAATGGGGCACTTGTGCTTGCTGTTTGCAGTGCAAGTGCCCCCCGCCCCCGTCTTCACTTGGCTGGCTGCCTCCCCCTCAGGCTTCAGCTGAGGTGCTACCTCCTCCCGGAGCCTTCTCTGATTGCCCCGCCAAGGCAGTTCCTCGCCCATGGTGGCGCTGCCCACCCCTCCCCGGGTTTTATTGTTTTTTTTTTTTTTTTTTTTTTTTTACTGTGCCGAGCTTTCTTTGAAAGGCTTTATTCCTTTGTGAACGGCCTCTCTTCCTTACTGGACTATTTCTCTGACTTGCTCATGGCTGTGCGTCCAGGTGAGGGAGCGTTTCAGGGCAAGGGCGGGGCCAGAACTGGGGAATGAATGAATGAGCTGCTTCTTCCCGATATGGGAAAGACAGAAGAAGCTCTAAGGTGGCTACTGCATTATTTCTGGGAAGACTCAGGGGTCTGAGTGACTGGGGGCGGGATACGGACTAGAGGAGGGGCCCTGTTCCAGAAGGCTCCAAGGAGGGCCAGCTTCATGGGCATGTGGCCTGGGCCCATGTTCAGAGGGACCCTGGGCTCATGTCAAAGCTCTGCTCTGTCTTGAAATGCTGACGAAGCTGAATCAGGAGCCCCACTTTTCCATGTTGCACTGGGTCCCCAAAGTCATGTCCACGGTCCCATCAGGATGTCACAGCAGCGAGCCGGGCAGGCGGGCAGCTGAGAGCCCCCCACGCCCCGGCTGACGGCCCGTCCAGGCACCTCAGCTCACAGAGACCCCAAAGAGGGGGCCGCACTCCACAGCACTGACAGACCCTGATTAGTCATTTCCCCCAAAAGGAAAACCTGCCAGGCCTTACGCATCTCAGGATGGGATCCTGCCCGTCACCTGAGTAAGAAGTTAGATGTTCCTCAGGCCAGGGAGGCGGGTGGGTAGGGGTGCAGAGTGAAAAAGGCCTTGTCAGCGCCACTGCTGAGCCCTTGGGGAGGGACAGAGGAGGGGGCATTAGCTATTTTTCAAACGCAGAGGGCTGTGCTTCTTTCCCCCAAAGAGGAGTCTTGGCTGGTCCCGTCTAAGATCAGGTGGCAGGGGGCGCCCATGACTCCCGAGGTCCCTGTGGGCCTCCTCGGAGGTTTCTGGGATGTGGGGAAGAGGGTGCCCTCTCTCTACTGACTCCTCTCGCTGTTGGAAGTTCAAGGACATGGTCGTCAGGATGGGAAGACACTCTTGGCGTCCAACATAAATGCCCGCAAGCCTGTGGGTGCCGGCGGGTGGATGCTGGCGAGGTCTAGTCTAGGTTTTCTAACCATGGGGTGGGGGGGAGGCATGACTCGTTCATCCAAATCCCAGAGAGTCGGGAGCTGCAGTCCTTCTTTCACGCTGAAGGCAGAAGTCCCATCATACCCTCTCCTGCTCAAAGCCCCTCTGTGGCTCCCGACAGCCTTGGGATAGACGCCAAAGTCCTCACAATGGCGTGGGGCTGTGCTCTGGCCTCTGCCACCCTCGAAGCATGCACGGGTCATACGCTTCTGGTCACCCACCATCCTGGTCTCCCCTGTTGCCCACACTCGTCCACCCACTGGATGCACCCTGCCCCGGCCACCGCCACCTTGCTCCTGCCTGTGTCACCTGCCAGGAGTCATCTGGCTCCACATCCAGGGGCAGGAGCAGTGGCTGGGTGACTGACTGCACCTGTGAAATCCTGTTGGCCATCCCCTGAGTCTCAGCCGGGCTCAGGTGACATTTCCCAGCCTTCCTTGAGGCCAAATGCAGGCCCTTGGACTGAGGCCAGGAGCGTGGGTGTGCTTGGTCAAAGGGGGATGGTTGGCCCTCTGTAGCCTCTCTGCCCACAGACGAGTACAGAGCCCCCGGGATGGCCCAGCACCTTGGCAGGAGGAACCGGGGTCTATGCCTCCCACCAGCCTGGATGGCCCCCCTTGCACGTGTGCTGAACCTCCGGCAGGTTGGAGCCATTCTGGTTAGAGGGTCTCTTTGCTGCAACAAGTTAGCCTCTCTCTGAGACAGACCCTCACTCACTGTGGGGGCACCCCAGCACCTGCCACAAGGCCTAAAATAACGCCAACGGTAGTGATATCTCACGGTGCCTGGAGGCACATGCAGGGCCAGGCACAGTGCCCAGGCTTTGCCTGCCAAGCTCCCCCAGTCCTCGCCACAACCAGGAGCCACAGGCAATTACCATCCTCTTGTCACAGATGGGGAAACAGAGGCTCAGAGCTAAATGCTGGGCTAGGTCGCTTGGCTAAAAAGATTTGACACCACACACTAACTCCAGGGCTGCTCTCTGCTATGACCCTCTATTGCCTTCCAGACTCCGGGAAACAGGAGATTCAAGAACGACTGTTGATGGGTGGATGGATAGATGGATGGATGGATGGATGGATAGATGGATGGATGGGTGGATGGGTGGATAGGTGGGTGGATGGGTGGATGGATGGATAGATAAATGGATAGATGGATGGATGGATGGATAGATGGATGGGTGGGTGGATGGATGGATGGATGGATGGATGGATGGTGGATGGGTGGATGGGTGGATGGGTGGATGGGTAGATGGATGGGTTGGTGTATGGATGGATGGATGGATGGATGGATGGATGGATGGATGGGTGGGTGGATGGGTGGATGGGTGGGTGGATGGGTGGATGGATGGATAGATAAATGGATAGATGGATGGATGGATGGATAGATGGATGGGTGGGTGGATGGATGGATGGATGGATGGATGGATGGATGGATGGATGGTGGATGGGTGGATGGGTGGATGGGTGGATGGGTAGATGGATGGGTTGGTGGATGGGTGGATGGATGAGAGAAATAGAGAACACAAGGCCCACCTTGCCCCAGGCTCACCTCCAACCTTGCTTGGCTCCGCAGGGTCCCTCCTGCCATCCTCAGGCTTTGCAACTCCTCCTGGACCAGCTGTCTCTGAGCTGACAGTCATTCTGTTGCTGTTGCCGATGACAGTGTCCTCAAGGAAGCATGATCTGATACGGACTCTCTGGGCCACCTCCTCCTTGGAGGAAGATCCTGGTTGGGGCATTCGAATTTCGAACGAAGCTCCTGGGCCTTCAGTGGTGGCAGAGACTGTGGGTCAGCCAATGACAGAGATGTCAGGAGGGCTGCAAGAGCAGCGGGATGGTGGCCCCGAGCCTTGACCCCCAGCCTGGCTTTCAAGTTCTCCCTGGCCCACTCTCCTCCAGGAAGCCAGGCCTGGTTCGGGCCACAGCCGAGACCCCGCCTCCCCGAGCACCTCTGCACACAGCCTGGGCTCCCAGCTCTCTCTGCCACCCAGGTCTGCCGGCATGGGCATCACCTCCTCCCGTGCCCTTCCCCTGGGGTTCAACCACCTCCCCGCCACCGCCTGCTCCCGGCTCTGCTGCTGGCTTCCCCACGGCTCTGGGACACCATCCCCACCTGCGGTTAAAACCTCCACGTGGCCATAGCCAGTCCCCAGCCCCTGATACCTGGCTCCTCTCCCATCCACACTTTGGACAAGAGCTGCACACAGTTCCCCCTCCTCCTACTCCTGAGCTCCTCTGTCCCGTCAGGTCACCACAGACCCCTGTGGCTGGACCCCATGGAACTCCCCGAACTCATCGGCTTCTCCTTCCTGGAAACTCTCCTCCGGTTTTCCCTGGCCTCCCTGCTGTTTTTTCCTGCCCAGCCTGTCTCTGCGTTATCCGTGTTGGGGCGGACTTAGCCTGGGCTCTCTGGTCACTGTGGACAGCACTTAATAGGGCACCAGGTACTTAGAGGACTCCGGTCCCTGCTCCTTAGATGCCATTCCAGGCTGGCCATCCCCTCTGACCCTGCTTCAGCTGGTCCATGCCTGCTGTACAGACGAGGAAACCGGTTTCACAGAGGAGGGTGGGTGGTAGGGAGTGGGATTCCGAGCGCTAACTCTAAAGCCCCGCGTGCTCTGCTCTGTGAGACAGCCTCCAGGCAGAAGGAAAGGAATTTCCCATTGTGCCTCTCTCCCTGCAAAGAATGGCTCAAGTTCTATCCAGCGAGGAGACGGATGGGGTGGGGCAGGGCAGGATGGGTTACCTGGGGGGCTGCCCGGGGGGCTGCCCAAGGGGCTCTGGGCTGCAGGGCCTCTGGCCTGGGCACCGTTGAGGTTCATCTTGTTGCCATGTCCCACCTGTACCTGTCTGAGCACAGACTTCTCCAAGTGGATGTCCTGGGGTCCCCAGGCTGCAGCCGGGGAACTCTGAGTTGAGGGATCAGCTGGCGCCACTGGGGGGAGGTGGAGGGGAGCCATGGAGCCTAGCAGGGGACACAGCAACATGACCTCAGGCCCCCACCCTCTGACGCCCCCTCCCCCCTACACACACAAAGTCCTGGCTGGACAGAGGAGACAGGCCTCTGAATTCTTTGTGAGCTCTATTGGACTGGGAATGAGTGTTTCAGGCCATTGATGGAGAGCAGGTGGGCCCAGTAACACAGGTAGCGTGGGGCTCCCCAGGGGTTTACGACTGGCACCTGGGGTGTCCCTGGGGCACTCGAAAACCCAGTCAGGGAGCACAGCTTCTGCTCCCTGGTGCTTTCAATCCTTTGAACCCACGAGGGCAAGTCTCCTTGGGTGTTGGCGTACCTTTAGCACCCCTCAACCGGGAGCATTCACCGCCTTGACATTGTTTTTTCTTCTCAGTATGCATCTTTATAGTAAACTTCCTGGTTTTAAACTTAAGGCCATGCTATAAAAGTTAACTTTAAAATAAATTTGAGTAGAATAAAACGGCAAGTCATTTACCGACATTAAGTATATAATCAGACATGGGCATGGCCAAAACTGGGGAGGGCAGAGCCCAGAGGACTAAGGTCGGGGAGACACTGATCTAGAAAAGCAAAGTTCCTCATTTCACTGCCAGGGAAACAAAATCCCAGAGTCAGGGGTGGGGTGGGAAAGGTCTCTCTGGAGGTCACAAGGAGGATTCCAACTTCTGGGCCAATGCTGCCAGTCGTGTGCCACGGCTCGTCTGATGGGGCCGCGCGCCCTTTTACCCCAGTACCTGGCCGGGAGTAGCACTCCTTTGCGGGACTGTATTTTAACAAAAGCAGGATGCCGCTGGTAATATGCAACCCAGTTTCTAAGATGTTAAAATGTGGGGGGAAAGTGTATCTCAGAACAAACGAAATACTGCAACGACCCTTGTGACATTCTACTGAGGGAGAGTGAACACTGAGTTGTTTCTCATGGCAAAATATCAGGTCCCATGGAAACCAAGGCAAAAGGTATCAGAATGAACAGAAACCAGGAGAGGTTTGATCCAGGCACCAGGGGAGACTTCCTCATTCTCAGGAAGGCCCCAAAGGAAGACCTTGGAGATCTGAGAGCTGCCCCTTCTCGGAGCCTGAACGTCCCCCTCTCTGCTCCCACCCGGATGGAGCAGGTACCCCCACCTACAGGGAGCGGGTGTCTCTCCGAGGACTCACTATTCTCTCCAGAGGCCGCCTGTCTCATGATGACATTCCCATGTCCAATCTGGATGGCTTCAGAGTTGTCAATGGAAATGTGGTTATTTGGTCCATTCTGATAGATGATGTTGATTTCATTTTTCTGGCAAATAATCTCAGTGGCCGGATTTCTTCCTCTCAAATCTGCAAAATCATATTCCACTCCAGCCCTCTGCACCTCTCTGGGGGTCAGGGGTTCCAAATACCCGAGAGCAGCAACAAAATCTCTGGTGAAGCTTGTTAAAACACAGAGGCCCTGGTGTCCACCCTGAGGGTGCTGAGTCATGAGGTCCAAGGAGGGACCCAGGAGTAGGCGTGTTTAACAAGCCCCCCCACCCCTGGGTATCAGAGAGGAGCCTTGCTTAGATGTCCCCAGGGCAGTCTCCCTATCTATGTGTCTTCTGCCACCCCCGGGAGGGTCCTGGGAGCCTCACTGCCCACCTCATCCTCTGTCCCTGTCACTGTGAGGCATCCCCTGACCACTGAGCTCCAGGACCCCTCTCCCCTTAGCGAAGGCGGCAGGGGGGCCGTCCACGGGCTGTTTCCGGCCACTGGATAAGCTTTGTTTGGCTCACATGGCATTTTTAAGAATTGGGATTTTTTCACCAGTGTTTAAAACCTGGTGGCTGTCATGTTATCACACCTGCAATGCAGGGACACCCCCCCCGTCCCTTGGGCGCCATGAGCCTGTGCACCATCCCACAGGGCATGTGAGCACCTGCCTGGGGCTCTGCCGGCTCCACACACGGGGCCACATCCCACCTTTGTGGGCCCTCAGCTCTTGTGCCTTGGTGGATCCCTTCCTCCATAAAAAAAATATTCAAAATTACCACTTATGATAGTGGTGGGATAAAGGCAAATGTGATCCAGGCTGGAGTCATGATTAACTCTTCATTACTATTACAATCTGCCTCTTTTCTTCTGATTTTAAGAGAAATTAGAACATTGTCGTGGAGGTTGGGTCCGTGCCTGCTGCACCTGAGGGAGAAGTCTACCGGGCCCCCACCCTATGGGTGTCTGAGCCCAACCTTCTCTTCTGGCAACTTCAAAACTCCAAGTTGGGCAAAGTGCTGACAGAAAACTGTTAGCAAACTCAGGCTGAGCCCCGCATCCCAGGGCTGCTATAATTAGGAGTGGGACACCTCTCCTCCTGGCCCCTTGCCTTCTGCAACTACAGCCTCAGGCCACTCCTCCGGGAAGCCCTCCTTGGTTACTCCCACCGGCACACCCACCCTCCTGGTACCCTCTTCTAGTGACCCAAGAACAAGACCACTGCAAGCTTCTGTGACGGTCTGACAAGGAAGCTGGAGCTGGTAAAGTGCTGGGCAGGGCGCCCACAAGCATCGGATGTTAAGGTTTCTCTTCTAGCCCTGCCCCGTCCAGGTGTGGGCTGCAGGTAAGGACCTACCTGGTTGATAAATTGCCCATATACTTGACTTCTCATCGAAATCCACAAGATGCTTCCTCCTCATAGCGTACAAGTCTGGGTTGACTTCTTTTGCTGTCTTCCTTCCCAGCTTCTGGGAGATGGTCAGGGCCTTACAGGGCCCATGGGCTTCCAGAATCCTGTAGATGTCTTCCTCTGGGAGGCAGGGTAGTGGGTGGTAAAGGAGGAGCCCGGAGTGTGAATCTCCACCACTGCTTGCTAGCTGTGTAAACTTGGGCCGACCCAGACCCCCTGTGCTCAGTTTCCCCATCTGAAACGTGTGGTACATAAGAACAGCGCGGCACAGAGCCCGCTCTAGGGCGCGGGGTGGACATACACTGCTCTGAATGGTGCCGGGCACATGGCAGGGGCCCATGGCAGGTGCAACTGCGGATCAGAGAGATTTCTCAGCCATTTAGCTTCTTCCACTGTGCAGACTGAGTCCTGCCTCTGGACCCTCTGTGGGAACCTCTTGGTGGGCGGGGCAAGAGTCACATCTCAAGTGGCCAAGGAGAGTTTGGGAAAGTGGGATGCTTACGCTGTTTAGTGAGCAGAGAGCCAGCTTCCTGTGGAACTGCAACTACGCCTTGCTGGGGCCTCTCTGCTGGAGGAAGAAAGAGGGCCCGGGGGCATGAGGGGTGGCAGAGGAGACAGGGAATCCACTGGACAAAGGCGGGCCGCCCCACAGTGGCCCCGGTGCGCGGGCGATCTGGACTCAGAGTCTAGAGTTAAACCAACCTGCCTTCAAACCTGCCCTGTCACTCTCCACACCCCCGGCTTCCCTGCTAACTCACGCCTCTGGGCAAAGAGGAAGAGTGCCATCCACTTACGCCTGGGCAGTGGGAGCACCTGACAGATGCCAGCTCTGGGACCCAGGGTAAGCCAAGTCTGTTCTACTCGTATCACTACTGCGGCAGTTGTCAACAGTGTTACCGCTAATGCTTTGCTGAGTGCCTGCTACGTGCGGGCGTGAGGCTGGGCCCTCTGCGTCTCACCCTCTCGCAACCCTGGGCAGCAGATCTTCAAGGCACGGCCAGGGGATGCCACGCACCCTTGAGAGGCGGAGCCTGTATTCAAACCCAGGCCCGCACCCCACCTGTCCACTGCCAGGACTGCTCGTGCTGGCCCCCGCTCCCTCCCGCTCCCCTCCCCAGGGCAGGTTACCCTGGCTGGGCTGGGCCAGCTCTGTGGGCTCCACTTCTTCAGTCCTGCCCTTGCCCAGGCCCCATGTCGCCTGGCCTTCCAGGGAGACTTTGGACTCTTCCTTCATCCGGTAGAGGACTTGGTTGAGTTTTTTCTTGGGCACTTGGCATTCCTTTGCCAACTGGAAAGCCTTCATGGGGGAGCGAGTGTCCCTCAGCATCTGCAGGATCCTCTGCTCAAGGTCTGGGAGAAGGAGAGAGGGGCAGAGAGGGGACTGAATCTCCCCCGGATGGAGCCTGGGCTGGAAGCTGGGGGGCAGGGGAGGTGCCTCCAGGGCAGAGGGAGGGGCAGGGACCTGAGCAGACATTCGCTAACAACACCACTGTTCAGGGAGGGATGCATGCACTGGTCAGAAATGACCTTGGCCGGACAGCCTGGTGACCAGAGGAGGTGCCCCAGCCTTCTGAGCGTCCTCTGCCTGGTGTGAGCGCTTGAGGGCGAGGGGGGGGACACTCAGCCCTCAGACATCCTCAGAGCAGAGGGGAGGGGAGGGGGCGGGGTGGGGCAGAGTGAGGGCAGGAGGGCAGGAATTGGGGGGAGACAAGGGGCCTGCTGGGAGGCCCGCTGTCCCTGCCTCCCTACGGCACCTGCCCCTCCTTGTGGGCTCACCATCCACAGCAGTGGTGCGTCTAGTCATCCAAGCCAGGAAGCTAAAGACACTGAGAAACGGATCTTTCTCCCTGGTGCCGTTACAGAGAGTCCTAGAAACCTTGTTCCCGGCTCTCTCCCGAACCTCTCCTTCTTCCCTCTGTGCTCTGTCTTCCTATCCGGACGACAGCAGCTCCGCCGACCGGCCCACCCTCCCCTCGGCAGCCAGAGCTTCCCTTCAAGTGCCAGCCTGCCGTGCTCCTTCCAGCCCGCTCAGCCCTGGGCCTTTGCACACACTGCTCCCTCTGTCAGGAACGCTCCCCCCGCCACCCACCCAACATCTACTCAGCCTCCGGGTCTCACTCAAACACCATCTCTTTTGGGGAGCCGTCCTAGGTGCCCCGAGTGATTGGGGTGCTGTGTGGGGGGGTGGGGGGTCCCCGGCAGAATGTCTCCAAGGACCCCCTTGCTGTGATTTCCGGGTCCACTGCAGTATTTTCGGTGTCTAGCACAGTGCTGGGCGCACAGTAGGTGCTCGGGAAACGGCATTTGAATGAACGAGTGTCTGAGTGGGTCTGCCCGGCACAAGGACAGGTGTCTGCCCAGATGACGCAGGGCAGGGTATGGGCAGCTCCTCCTGGGTTTCTATTTCCCCACTTGAGGTTAATGACCCAGAGGCTGGAGAAGGAGCTCTCTGAACGGCCCCTGTTCCTCTCAGATGGGCTCCCACAAACCCAAGCCTGCGGCTCTTTGGGGGGCCGAGAACAGAGAGCACACAGTGCCTGGGGAGCTGGAGGGAGCCCCGTGGGCTGCAGCCCAGTCTCTTGCCAGGAAATCTCTGCCCCCAAGAACCCCGCGGGAAACGCAAGGCAGGGTCCTTCTGAGGAAGACCCGGGGCCCCTTGGCAGGGCAGCAGCCTGATCCTTTGCCTTCTGGGTTTTTCCCTAGTGGGGGAAGGGGTAATCCATTGGCTGGCTCTACAGCTGGGCTCTGAGGCTCCATCTGGGATCAGGACACATTCATCCGTGCTGGGTGCAGGTGAAGTGCATTTAGAATGCCCGGCGGCATCCACCCCTTCACCCACCAAGCTCTACCTCCGGCGGCCGGGGATCCCCATCCAATCAACAGCAAGCCTGGCTTTGCCTTGTCTTGAAAAGAGTTTTGATTTTTGAAAAGCCTGCCCCTGGGTGAGCTTCTTCCCCTCCCTTCTCCTCCACCCCTTTGACCTCAAAGGAGCCAAGGGGGGTCGTGGGGTCAGAGGTCAGAGTGAGGGCCGAGCCCATAGGGCTGGCTGGCCTCCTGCACTGAGTCTTCAGGCTGGTGTGTCTGTAAGTGGAAGGTTGTAAAATGGATGAGGTGTAAGCGACGGGTTGGAAAGGAACACCCAGGAGGGAGAAGTTAAATTCAGCCACTGAGTGACAAGTACCTGCGTGTCCCCCTTGTGGAAGCACCACAAAAACCAGGCAACCAGCCCGGGGCCCTGGGTGCACACTGCTGGCCCTCCTCCCCAGTCCCCCACTCGTCCTTTTCTGTTCTTTGGTGGCTGGTTTCCGTGGTTTGAGCCCCCTCTCTGCCATCCATGTGATCTCTCTGCGCCTCACTTTTTCCATCTGTGAACTGGGGATAAGAGCAGCTACCTCGAAGATTGTAGAGAGGAGTAAATCAGCGAATGATAACAGAAGAATAAAAAAAACAACGAAAAACAAAACCACCCTCAACCCATAGCCCACGGCCCACAAACTCTCTAGAATACATGGCTCGCTCTTCTTGGGCTTTCTTCCAGGAGTGAAGCGTTACCTGTGGTAGTAGGAGACACAGGCATGCACGTCTGCCTCTTCTCAAAGCAACTTCTGCTGTTTTTTAAAATGAGTGTGAGGACAGGCCTTCAGACCCCAGTGTCAGCCATGCGGCCCAGGGTCCCCCCTGTGGGGCCTCAGTGACCTTGTCTATAAAATGGAAACAGCTCTGCGCTTACCCCCGAGGGCTCCTGAAAGACGTGCAGAGGGTGTTGCAAGGTGCCCAGGGCAGAGCCGGCCTTCCCCACCAGACCCTGGGGTCCCCTCGACTCCCGCGGCCACAGGGCTTTGGGGGACTGCCGGCTATCATTGCTGTCATCTAGCCAAGGAAAGGAGCTGGAAAGAGAGGTGCAAATCCCACTGGGAGCGCCTACTATTCCTTGGAAGGAAGAGAGTACCTCTTTCATCAGGGTCCCCGGGGGCCTGGGCCATCCTGGCTGCAGCGGCTGGGAGCCTGGAGGCGTGTGGCAGGCGTCTACACTGTGGCTGGGAACGGACAGGCTGGGTGGAGGCAGGGTGTCCTTGAGTGGCCGGACTGGGTGCTCCTGCAGCTGGGAAGGGTGGGTGTTTGCTGTTCACACTCCAGAAACAAGCCTAGTCAGCCTGACCTGACCAGCGTTCTGGGGAAAAAGAAAACGAAACTCCTGCATGTGGCCTCAGAAAAAGAGATTGAAAGCAGAAGCGATGAGTGCGGGCCTCTGACTACATGTTGATAGGAAGGAAGCCGAGCCTGGCAAGACCAGAGCATTCTCTGGAACCACGGGGCTTCCCTGACTTTCTGGGCGCTCGCTACTGCCCACCCAGATCCCCACACAGAGGCTGAGACCCCTGGGGGGCGGGGCACTCCAATTGTTTGTGCGTGTCAAAATCACAGCTCTTTTTAGCGAGCGCCTGCTATGTGCTTTCCAATATTATGTGCCCCTCTGACTCCCCTTCAGGGTAGGGGCTAGTACTGATGTCTTTTCTCAGAGAGGAAACTGAGGCTTAAGTCGATGGGGTCACTTGTCCAAGGCTGGGTTTTAACTCAGCCCACAATTTACTGGCTGTGTGACTTTGGGCAAGTTCTTAAACATATTTGTGCCTCAGTTTCCTCATCTGTAAAATGGGGCTAATAAAAGTAGCTACATCAGGAGGTCCTGGAGAGGACTAAAGGGGGTAATCCAGTTGAATGGTCTGACCAGACCCCTCCAGTGCCATCTCCAGCCAGGAGCACAGCGGGGCACCCACATACCTGGAGAAGGGATCTATCACTTCCATCTAGTTTCAAGGGGCTCCTGACCCCCAAGTAGGTCAGAGCCACCGTTCTTTACTGGGTAATAGAAGGGGAAACTGGGGTTTCCCGTGGTGAAGGGCTTCGGGCCAGGCAGCCAGGAGGGTCATGAACTCAGCCCTGGAAGTCCCTGGGCTCAGGGTCCCAGCCGCAGAGGCCTGGGGAGGGTCTCAACCTTGGTGGACTTCGCCCTAGCACTTCTGCAAAGGGAGGGGCTCGCATGTCTGGGGCAGTGCTTGCAGAGCGAACGGGGCAGTCCTGACGCCCAGTCCACACCCAGGCCACTTACAGCCCAGCGCCTGGGGGCGGGGCGCGCGTCCCAGGTGAGGTCACACGCATCTGCTCCCCACTGCCACGTCGGACAGCTCAGTAGCAACCGGAAACCGCAATGGTGTTTGTTTCTCTTTCATGTAAAACGGAGAAAATGTGTTTCTCCCTGTGAATTGTCAATATCAATTTTAAGTGTAACGGGGGCTGTTGAGGGAGATTGTGGGGGCGCACTCACGGAGGGGGCTCCGGCTGAGCCCCCAGTGGGAGGCGGGCGGGGGGGGCGGCGTGCCGGGACTGGCCACCAGGTGGCGCTCGCTCATCAACCTGGACCCTGGGCCGCTGGCTGTCCCTCTCCTGTGGAGGGACCTCCCACCCATCACCACCCCCCAGGGAAACCCCTGACTCCAACTGGCCCCACTCCGGGCTTCTCGCCATCCTCCCTGGCCTCTCTTACTCAGGTTCCTTGACTCCTTCCCTGCATGCTGCCCACCTCTTCGTGTGGAGGCCTGAGGCGCTGGCTTTGACCCAGGTGTTTGGTAGGCTGACAGGTCAGGCTGAGACTCGGGCTTAATGCTGAGGGTCAGATTCACTTCTGGAAGGACCACTCGTGCGTCCGTGGTGGAGGCTGGCGCCCGTATGGCCTGTGTCTGTCTGGACAGTTTGGGATGGCTCCTTTCTGCCCCTTCACGCCCCTGTCCCACCGTGTCCCCATCCCCACCTCCCCACCCCTTCCTGAAACCATGTGGGGCTTGCACACTGGCTTTGGAGCTTGCAGCAGGAGCCACTATGTTGGGAAGACAAAGCCCCCCTGGGACATGCCCCCTGGACAGGGATTCTGCCTTGTGTTCTCCTCCAGGGCAGGCCCCAGCTGCCGCCCTTCCCCACCCTAGCTATGTGTCACTACCTCCCTGGCCCTTGGTTTCTTTAATTATAAAACAGAGATAATAAATAAGAAAAAGCATACCTTAATCGGTGCTCCCGAAAGTGGCAAAACTTGGAAAATATGATAAAATGCATCTGTACAAAATAACTTTAGGCACTAGAGACAAACAAACAAAAACCCCAAAGCATTCCATAGCATTCTGTCACATGTCTGGAATTTATGGAAGGCACGCACCTACTGTGAGTGTCTTGCCACACTGAGTGGGATTCTCACTTTTAAAGATTTGGATTATCTTGTATTTTATTTCTCAATTTAAGAGATTTTGAAGGTAATTTTGATATAGGGATTATCTTTGACCCAAATATCAGTGGCTTAAACAATGCAGATGCTTCTTTATTTCTCCCATAACAGTGTGGTAGGCAGTCCAGATTTGCTGTGGCACTCCATGGTGTTGAGACCCTGGCCCCTTCTGTCTTGTTGCTAGATCATTTGTGGCCTCCATTCCCAGGTTGGCCTTATGTTCTAGAATGGCTGCACAAGCTCCAGCCATCACATCTGCCTTCCTTCCCTCAGGGAGGAGGAAAGAGAAGGGCAGGTATCTCCCCTTTCAGAACACTTGTAAGTTGCACACACACTTTACTGACATCCCGGTAGTACCATGGCCCAGCAAGGAAGCTGAGGAAAGATGGTACTTATTCTGGGCCATAACGTGCTGAGCTAAAATTGGGGGTTTTGTTACTTCGAAATAGGAGACAATAGATATTGGAGGATACCAAGCTGTCCCTGCCATTTCGAGACTCTGTTGTTCTCCCAAGGAAGGAGCATGGATACTTCCTCTGTGCCTGCAGGTATGTCTACTCACGGGAACCTACGTATTGAGCAGATTCGAGGCTGAGTGCAAAGGCAACGTCCACATTCTCAGAGCCTCCTTTCCGGTGTGGAAGCCTCCCTACTCTGCTGAGAAAGGGCCTCAAAGGCCACAGGAGTTCCAAGATGGGGCCACCGCCTGCCCGAGCCCAAATCTCTTTTTGCCTTGGAAAGCACATTCGTTTTTTTATGGTTTGTATTTTTCTGGAAACTATTAGAACTCTCCACCCAAACCAGATGATAATTACATGTTACTGATCTCCAGTCTTTACATCTCTCTCTCTCTCTTTTAAAGAAGAGATATTTTTACTGCACATTGTTTTGGCAAAACCCAGTCTCCGTTCTACCAGGCAGCCTGGATGTTATTTTCACATTTTCTCTGTGAATTCCCCTCAGGGAAGGGAGTGGCAAGGTCTGAAGGCACCAAATGTGGGTAATAATGTGTCTTCGGTCAAGGGCAAAGATCAGAGAACCAGAGGTGGCCAGAGGAGGCAGGGATTGCACGCAGTCTCGAGAGCTATCAACAGAGGGCGAGGAACAAAGATAAGGGAAAGCTGCTTTGTCAAAGGCAGCAGGACCTCTGTGGCAGCTCCCCATAGGGACCTGCCTTGGCTCTGTTAGCTGCCCTTCAAGGCGGAGCTCAGTGGCCTTCCATTGGTCATCTGTGTCCACCGCAGTTGGACGGACCTGGGGCTCTGGTCTGGCACCCCCACCTTTTAGCTACAGGCCTAGGGGCGAGTCACTAGTCTTTCTGAGCCTCAGTTTCTCCCTTTGGAAAAGGAGATAAAAGCAGCACCTACTTCTGGGGTGATTGCCAAAGTTAAATGAGATCATGCACCTAGGTCCTCCCGGAGCACCAAGCATGTAGTATGTGCTTAATAAACAGGAGCTAGTCCTATCTTTACTTCATGACCCCCAGCTGTCCCACTCTGACATGAAAAAGCAGTCCCATTTCATCTGGTCTTTCACCAAATAACGTTTTGTGCTTTTTTTATCCCAGGCCCCGAGGTGGAGCTTGTGGTGGGGGTGAAGGAAGGCCTCTCCTCACCGGTTCCTGGATCCACTTCTCACTCCGGCTGTAAAAGAGGCCATACGGCCCAATTCAGGGATTGAGGGGGGGCTCAGGCTGAGTCCAGGGTGGACCAGCACTCCCCGCCCTGTGCCGGCCAGCTGAGTGAGCCAGGGGGATGGGCAGGGGCCGGGGCATTGATGGCCTTGGTAGAAACTTGAGATTTTCACTGGGAGCAGAAGAAGGGCCACTGGAAGATTTTCATCCAAGCCGACTTGGGTAAAAGCAGCCTTGGGTGCTTGAGGAAGGTCAGCAAAAGGTGGGCGGTTGGGGGGGGTGCAGCACCAGGCTGTTTCTCGTCCTCCCCCACACCAACACTCTGTAGAAAGCCCTTCCCCACATCCCAACAGATGGATTGAAATGAATTCTCATCTCAGTTTTAGTTTTTGATCAAAAGACATTTTGATGATGTTACTACCAAAATTATTTGCCTACAAGAAATTCATTCATTACAGCTGGCCATAAGCTCTTCACTGAGCAATCAGTATCTTGGGGATTCTGGCAAAACGAGAAGAGCTCACCTATAAATTCGTTTCAAATATAATGAAGTATAATGAAATGTTTATGATGACTAGATGGAACAATTCATGAACATGACGTAATGTTATGTTTCCTACACATTTCATTAAACATTTGTTGATCCTGATTTTGTAACGTTTAGCCCCCTGCCCCCTGTTTTGGAACTCAAAACATTTTCACAGGCTCTTGAAGCATCCGTAGGCCTGAGGTGCTAAGACTTCTATGCCCAGAAGGTATGATAGGGAAATGCAGAGACACAGATGCTAAGGGCCAGGATTCCTGCTCTTCTGGGGGCTGTGGCCCCGCTGAGTTGTGGGCAGGGGTGTTGCCGAGTGTGGGACAGGGGATGGGTTGAGAGTAGAACAGGTTTATGTGTCAATTGGTAACTTCTTTTCACTTTAAATGGATATCCCGCTCTAAAATTTGACCCAGTGATGTTTCTTAAAAGACTGGGGAACTCCGTAGCAACCAATGAAGACCCTTGAACAAGCTGGCTTTGAATAGCGCAGGCACACTTATATGTGGATTTTTTTTTTTTTTTTTGATAAATGCGGTATGATACTGTAGATGTATTTCCTTTTCCTTATGATTTTCTTAACATTTTCTTTTCTCTGGCTTCCTTTATTGTAAGAATACAGCATATAATATACAGAATGTACAGAACAGGTGTTAACCAACTGTTTATGTTATCAGTAGGCTTCTGGTCACTAGTTATGTCTTTAGGCAGGCAGAGCTACACATGGATTTTTGACCTCACAGCATGTTCGTTGCCCCTAATCCCTGTGTTGTTCAAGGTCCAACGGTATTTAGTTAGAGCTTACTACAGACCCTGTATTTATTATTTCACTGACTCCTAGCAACCTGTAAGGTTGGTAAGTAATATTAAATCTGCATTTTGCAGACAAGAAAACTGAGGCGCAGAGAGATGGCTGCGTAAACTGGTCAAGATCATGGGGCTAGCTAGTGGAAGAGATGGGATTCAAGCCCAGACTGTTGGGCTCTAGCATCCAAGCTCTTGGCAACTATTTCCCTTGCTGTGAACAGGTGTGTGGTCATAGCGCTGCACGGGGAAGGAGCAGTCCTTTCTCTGCTAAACACCTCTATGCCACTGAGCATGCTAATCCCATCGTGGGGCTCCACCTCCTAAGACCGCCGTGTTGGATAGGGTTTCAGGGTATGGATTTAGGGGGACACAAACATTCAGTCCATACCAGGGCCCCTATGGGCCGAGTGCTGTGCTGAGTACTCAGAGGCCCAGAAACCTGACTGTTTGGAAGAAAGTCCAGCACTTAAGATTTTTTTTCTCATTAACAATTTTTATATTGATTCTATGTTGAGATGATACTTTGGATATATTGGGTTTAAAAAAAAAGACAACTGAACAGGTGCCTGCAGCCCTGAACACACATGCATGTGTGCACACATGTCCTTATGTACACACACACACACACACACACACACACGAGCCCATCTGTGCCTTCTGCTCAGGGAGCCCCCTTTTCTCCAAGGTGCTCTGATCCTCTCACTTTGCTGACCACCACTTTACAGTTTGCAGTCTGAGGCTGGGTGCCCCATAAAGCAGAGATCGGAGTGCAAGCACTTACTTATTTGGAAGGTGACACCAGGAAACGCTGGGAGAGCAGTGGGGAGGTGGGCCAGGAAAGGATGGAACCTCATCAGGGGTGTGCCATCAAGCAAGGGACCTCACTGGGCTAGTGCTTAGTGCCTCAAGATCACTGGAAACACTGGGAGCATGCAGAGAATCTTCTCAGCCCCTCTCCGCAACCCCCCCCCCCCGCCCGAGGGCAAAGGAGCCGGGGTGTTTATCCCCCTACTCCCATCACCCAGGCAGGCTGCTCCCAATGTCATCAATTTCCCAGGACTTGTGGTCTGCTGCGTCATGGGCAGAGAAGCTTTCAGAAGCCAGAGAAGGCCTCAGGCTGTGGGATGCAAGTGCTTTTAGCTAGAAGTTGAGCCCACGTGGACAGACATGAAAAGGGCCAAGGGGAGGTGGGTGAGGCCTGGATGTCATTTGCTACATCTCTCTGCACATGTTACTCCTCTTGGGAACTGAGGCCCTGGGGTGGTGAATTGGTTGGAAAGGTGACTGGGGAGGATTTGAATCCAGATCAAATGACTGCAGAGCCCGGACCCCATGCTTTGCCTCTTCCCCTGCATCTGCCCATGTCTGTAAAGAGCAGGCAGGAGTCTAACTATGAATTTTAAAAATTCATTTTAAAACTTGTTCACTCAATTAAGTTGGATGCTTTTAAAGACAAATTTAATTATTTTGAGTTCAATAAAAGCCTTTTAATAAGACGAACATCATGATTTCAGGCCTCCACTTTCAGGCTTATCAGTCATGGCAAGGTGGGGACACAAAGGGAGGGAGGGAGGGAAGAGGCGGGGAGGACACGGAGGGAGGGGCAGTGCGAGCCGGCGCGCGCACACACGCACACGGGTGGATATTTATTTTAAAAATTTATTCGCACATTTAAATCCATCATTTGTTCCAAATTATTTGTGAAGCTTATAATGTTTTGTTTTATTTTTAGAAGCAGTTCTTTTACTTCGGTACAACTGTACAAAGTGTTAAAGAAAACGCGTCGCCGACTTGGCACAGGCTCGCTGTGTGTTCTGTCTCCCCTGTTGGCGCTAGTCTTCCTCGCTGCGAACGTTCCGTCTATGCCTGCGGCTGAGACAGGAAGCCAGACACACATGCTGAAGTAATTTCAACAAATATCAACTCAAAACCAACTTGAAGTAGTCACAAACGGCAGGGCTGCCTTCCCAGCCCGGTGCAAAAGGAGACTGCACGGTCTGCACGCCGCAGAAGCCTGGCTGGCCTCCGTACGAGCCTTCTTCTTTCAGGATCCACACACTAACTGGTCCAGCATAACGGCAGCTGCTCTTTTGAGCTGCCAGGGCCCTAACCCCCTTCTTCTGGTAAGTCCCCCCAGTTTTCCTTTAGAGAATCGCCGCTCTCCCTTCTCAGGGCAGGTGGACCGCCTGGAGCTGGCCCCACCTCCAGGTCCAGGGCGGGGCATGGGACTGAAACCTGGCCAATCAGAGCACGCTTTCCCTGCGACTGCAGGGACTGGCTCAGAGATGGGCACATGATCCAGGCCAGGCCAATGGAATTCAATTCTGGGACTTTTGCTGGAAAGATGGGAAACTAATTTCTTCCCTCTTGATTCAGGGCAGTCAGGAAATGAAGCTGGAGAGAAGGTGGGCGCCGGGAGAGGAGAATCTGTTTGAAAGGGAAATTAGTAAGGGGAAGAGCAGTTTGATGGTGGAGACGGACATCCTGCTAGTGTCACAGTGTGCACATCTGGACCTGGCGGCATATAATCTAGCTCAGCTCTACCTGTTGCTTTGCACGTACAAGAGTCAACAATTCCCTCTTCTGCTAACGCCAGCCTGAGTTGGGTTTGGCTCACTTATTACAGAAAGAACTAACTGACTCCAGAGCATGGCTCTGCGGGGCTGTTCAGGGGCGTTGCTGAGTTCTCCTCCTGGCCTCTGCTCATGCAGGCACTTGGCTCGCTCTCTCCCTTCCGTTTCTCCCTAACATCTCTGGACTTGAAATCCAGCCTCCCCTCATCGTAACAGCACAGTCTCCTGCCCTTGTGGTATTGTGTTGTGATGCCAGTCTACGAGACTGTCTCGAAAACCAGAAGGTGGGTTCCTTGAGGTCAGAGGCTGCCCCAAGCAGCGCCCAGCATGACGCTGTGCTTCCAAAAAAAAAAAAAAAAAAAATCAGATGAGATGAGACCTCCCCAAACACACTGCCAACTTCAATCAAGAATTTGACATGGTGCTTGGCACCTAGTAGGGGCTCAACAAATATTAGACATTCTGATTTCTGCCTTCATTCTGGACTGATTCAGTTATATCTGCATTGAGCTGAAGTCAAAGGTGTGGGGAGGGTCTCCTTTCGAATTAGAACCCAAGATGTCCTTCATGACTACTTCACAGGTACTGCCATCAACCCTTTCTACAGATGAGGTGACTGAGGACCAGCAAGCAGAGTGACCTCTAATGAGAGGCACTCGGGCTCTGGAGCCAGGCTGGGGAACAGCACCGTGGTGTCCCGCTGCCAGTACCGGAGAGTAATGAGCTCTTTTGGTTTCTCTTCAATTTTCTTTTCTTTCCTTTCTTTTTCCTTTATTTCCTTTTTCTTCCTTCCTTCCTTCCTTATTCCTTCCTTCCTTCCTCCTTTCTCTTTCTTTCTTTCTGAGGTTTTCCGTCACCAGAGAGAGGGAACAAGTAAGACAGATGTGTGCCTCAAGTTCTGCCCTGACTGCAGGACTCTGTACTCCAGACGCTTACGGAACCGTGGGGGTGAGGACAAACAATGGTCATCCCTGGGAAATCAACTGTTTGGGCTGATTTTTTAAAAACCTTGACCCGATGTCAAAGATGGTTCTAACTGGAGGAATAAATGCGAGTTTCTGTTGTGGGCGCTGCGGGTAGCCCACTCAGATCCCCTGGGGCCCCTTGTAGGTTCCTGTCCCCCCTTCCCCGGCTTCCATGGGCGTTGCTAATGGCCAGTACCTGGGAACATCCTCTGAGGACCACCCTGGGGCTTGTGAAACTCCCCACTGCTGCACTCTGACACACGATGAGCCAGGAGCATCTGCAAGTCTACTTCTCACCCAGAAGCACCTTACACCCCAGAGCTCCCCACGGGTCCCTTTGGGATCTTGGGGAGCAGGCTGAGGCGGGGACTTTGCCTAAGATCGCCCCTACCTTGCTTCGTTTTTCCTCCTTTGTCCTCTTCCCAATTCCCGTAACTGTCTCCCCTGGGAGCACACCCTTAATGCATCCCCTCTTACAAAGTCATGCCTCAGTGTTTACTTCTGGAAGCGACCCACCTTAGGCAGTTGCTTTCTTGCAGACCTTATCAGAGCTTTTGGCATGTTACAGAGAATGATTTTTTCAAGAGGGAGGAAAAATAGGTAATGTCCTGCAAAATCTTTTAACCCCAATTAATAAAAGGGATGGGTTGATTTTAACCCCTTTTATTAGAACCACCTGCCTAAGCTAGTGTTTTCACTGGGCTCCCCGGATGCGGCCTGAACTAGAACAGAGGTCTAAGGAATTGCTCAGGCCCTCCAGCAGCTCCTCAGGCTCTCTCCCACCCCGCTAAATGGGCCCTGGGACTGTTGCTGAGAGCGGTGGGGGCAGGGGAAGTCAGTGTGGCCAAAGAAGTAAAAAAGCCTCATTCCAAAGAATTGTAAAATTTATTGTATAAGTATTGCAGCTTTTCAGAACGTCATCATTGCCACTAATGATTATTGATACACAACAAGCGATTTCATCAGGCCTGTGGATTGGCATCCAAATACAGAGTCTTAACGCAGCAGCAACGTGGGCGCAGCACCCAGCGTGCCACGGAGAATTTACATGAGTTTAACTTGAACAGAACTTGGGAAACAGGGCTGCAAAGGAGAGCGGTTCCAACGCCAAGAACGCAACGTAAAAGCGTGCCATCAGCACACCACCATGGAATCAGGCAGGCAAACGAGAACGCGTGTCCTTCTGGGCTCTATAGTACAGCAAGATTTGAAGCGCAGTTTCCAGAAAAAAACAAACACAAAACAAAACAAAACAAAACAAAACAAAACACTTATTTTTCCTTATCACTGGGATGTTTTATGGATCTGGAAGCTTTGTGTGCATTTAGAAAGCAATTTCTGAAACATACAATTCACAGAGACAAGGACAGGGAACGGACTCGGTTCTTGCCCTGCCCTGGTGTTTGCTAGACGTTGGGGGTGGGAGTGGGGGGAGTTTTTGCTCTTTGCAAAGAACACTGGGCTTCCGGGGGTTGGGGTGGGGGGGGGCAGGGATGGCTCTCAGGGCTCCTTGCTAAGTCGGTCTGCGGAGACCTGGCCTTCGTGGGGGAGGAATCGTGATTGACAAGCAGGTAAACGATGAGGAGTCGAGGAAGCCCAACCTGGTCCCCCTCCAACCAGCCACTGCCTAGGACCCCAAGCTTTTTACTGGCAAAAGGAGGTCTCCTCAGGGGTGCTCAAAGCCTTTTCAAAGATAATGGCAAGACAGCCAACATCTAGAGGAATGAGTGCACCCCCAGCTCTGGGGTCCAGCAGAGAAACCGAGAGCTTAGCTCCAACAGTCGTTTCCAGAAACACACCCCACCGATTTTCTCGGGATGCACCCCGACTCTGACTAGCTGCTCTGCCATGAACCTCTGCGACTGGCATCTGCGGGGCATGAAGCCCAGGGGCTCTGCAGCATGCAGCCCTGGACTGCATTCCTGGGGTGCAATCGGAGGGGCGTGCTCCGCCCTCAAGCCAGCGGAGGTCAGGAATCCACTCCCCTGCCTCCTTCCAAACACCGCAAACGCCCACCGCACCACCAAGCGACAGGAGTCAAACAGTTTGGCTCAAGAGGACCTCGGGAACGCTGCCCACACAACCGAGGGCCACTTCTAGGTTGACAACTCCCATGGGAGTCAAACACAGTATTGGACAAGAGGGTGGAGGGGCAGGAATGTCGCCCGACGGAGCCAGGCACATCCACGGTGGAGGGCAGGCGGGGCGGGACACGAGAGGGCGACGGGGATGTTTGAGAAGCAGCAGCAACCCTTTGTTGACCTCGAGTGGGAAGGCCAATCCCTGGGTGATCGTGTCACTGCCCGGGGATGCCCCCAACTGGTGACAAGAGAACCCTGCTTCCTCAGTAAGGCACTAGGGAGACTCTTCACATAAAGGAAAGATACAGTTTTTAAAAAATTTTATCTATAAATGTGTCCCTGTACCTTTTAGGACAAATACCGATTTCTCTGCACGACTTCTGAAAAGAATCCTCTTTGAGAAGCCAAGTTTAGGCTGAAGACCCCCACGGAGAGGCAGGTTTTATTGTCAACGTGTAAGAACTTTCTGCCAGGCTGGTCAGCAGATGCTCAGACTCCATGTTTATCTGTTGGTCACCGTGTTTCTGAAAATGTATATATAAATAGAGTTCAAAGGGTCAGAACTTCAAAAACGGTTCTCAGGTTTTTGTTTAAGTCATAAAAAAGTTGCTTAAAAACAAGTTATTGCCCTTACGCCTCCTCTGATGTTAGTCCGCTAGTTAGCAGTCTGCCAAAATGAAAAGAGCTCCGTGCAGAGGGGGTTGGGGGGGTTGCTCTTCCATTTGGGGGGGTCACCCCATGGAATGTGAACATGTCCTCAGTGGGAGGAAGGGCCTGCAGCTCCAGCCACTGTCCCTGGTAGATCCCAAGGAACCCCCACTCCACTGTCCTGTCGCCACCGTGTCCACTCACACGCCCTCACCTGCACATCGTCACCAAGGGGTCCCACCACACCTAAATCTACTCAGTAAAATCCTGGTAAACGAGCTGTATATCTGCTAAAGAGGCTATGAAAACACAGATAAATAAACACATCCAACATGATTGTTTCCACGGGGAGAGGGGATGAAAATGCAGGAGAGCAGAAGGTAAAGAATTCTGCTTTGAAAACAGCACAGGTTTGACTGTTTCTCTTGTGTTAACCCTTTTGCATATCCCAGGAGAAATCTAGGCATGTCGCTTGTTCATCTCTGGTGTTCTGTTTGTTGGCCTGTTGGGTGAGAATTGCTACGTAAAGAGAAAAGACAGGGATGAGGTCAAATTCTTAATACTTCGGGCCTTTCTGATCTGCCGGCGAACTCCACCGACCTCAGCTGATAAATCCTGGAGCAGCTGGATCGCCCCGAAGCACTCCGCACAAAACAGCCACCCAAGCCCCTCTGGGGGGCGGGCGGGGGTGGGGCCGGCAACATGCGCGGGGAGCGGCTGACGGCTGGAGAGGGGCACCTTAGCCCCTTCCCGGGGTGGGGTGGGGGTGGGGCCTCATGCTTAAAAAAAGAGGAAAAACTAAGATTCCTCACTGTTTATTTTCATCTCCGGAAAGGCAAAGCCACCACCTGAAACTTGGTGTCTAGAGTAACTTCCCTATTTCATTTGCCATCCGAAGGCTGTTCTGGCTGCGAGGGGGGGGGGGGGGGGAGGTGGAGCGGGATGACACGTGGGACACGTGTCTCCTTCGGTGGGGAATGTATAACGAGGTAATAACCTATCGCTAGCCAGAAGCTTCCCCTTCGCAGGAAAGCGGCCCCCCTCCAGAAGCCTCTCCAAAATTCGTGTAAGAGCCTGCCCTCTGCCTGACGTCGACTGTGAAATTTCGACATTTCTCCCTTAAAAATCTCGACAGACATGATAGAAGTTTCCATCAAACAAGCACTGACATATTTATATTAAAAAATAGTGCAAAAGCTCAACATTTATATAAATAACTCTAAACCCCTGCTCTGTACTTTTTTTTTCTTTACAAGGTAATACACGCCTTCTGAGTTGGCACTCAAAAATTGCCATTTTTTTCTCTTCTAGTTCAGAAAACAACTTTTTTTTTTAATAGGCCTCTTCTAATACAAAAATACTCCTGCCCTCACAATACAGTTTCTCTTATTTTATATATATTTATATATATAATATTGCAGATCTTTAAACAAAGGTTTTGTGCAAATATGTCTTTAAAGTTAACTGAAGTCATCATAAACAAACAAAAGAAAAGAAGCATTCACGCACGCAGCTCAACTAGAAACAGAAAAGACTAGGGTAGATTTTGTGGGTTTTTTTTTTTTTTCTCTTTTGCCTTCAAGACACAGCTCAACAAAGAAACGTGGTTTTTTGCAAGCTTTCTTAGCTTGTGCATTCAGACCAGACAGAACATGTAAATATTTATACACAGAGAGAGGGGGAGGGGATGGTGACGCGCCGAATGTTGTGGGTGCCGCCCAGTCCTCCTCTGTCTTCTCGTTCAAGAAGTGCGGAGTGTTTCGCCTTTTACCTCCTGCTGCCCCGGCCCCGGCCCCGGCCCCAGCATTCCTAGAGAGGGTGACCTTTCTGTTTATCCTTCTCTTTGCTCCAGGCAGCTGTGCTCTCCAGGGGGGCGATGTGTGCGTGGTGGAGCCGGGTCCCCTCCAGCAAGGAGGGCGGCCCGCTGCTCTGCTGGTGCTGGAAGGAGGGGGACCCAGGGTAGTGCCCGATGACCTCGCTGTAGGTGGGGGGCGGCCCCTCCATGCGCCCGCCGCCCCCGTAGCACGTGGCGCTGATGCCCGAGTGACTGCTGGGGGGGCAGGGGCCGCCCACCATGGCGCTGTCCATCAGGTCGCTGTCGAAGATGGTTCTGTTCGGGGGCGCGCGCACGGACTCGCGGTTCAGCTCCAGCTGCTGCTCGGGGTCCCGCAGCTGGAGGGTGCAGGGGCCCTGGTAGGGCGGGGGCTCCTCCCCGTCCGACAGCGAGATGGTGGGCGGCAGGTCGATCTCGTGCTGCAGGTACGGGTACGTGGGCTGGAAGCGATGGAAGCGGTCCCGCTGGGTGAAGGGGGGCACGGCCAGACGGTCGGTGGGCCTCGGAGGGGCATAGACCTGTGGCTGGAGGGGGCAGAGCAGAGTGAGGGCCCCCTCCCAGAAGCAGGACCCGAGGTTGTGGGGGGAGGGGGGTGTCCAGCTGCCTGCAGACGCTCTGCTTGCCGGGGAAGGGAGAGCACGCAGCAGCCGGCAGCGCTGAGCCCGGAGTCCAGCCTCGGCCGGACGCTGGGGAGCCCTGGCTAGGAACATCACCACGGAGCTGAAATAGGGGCAACTTCGGTTCTCCCACGTTGCAGACACTGTGGGCCACTCGCTGCGGGCAGGGAGCGTTGGTAACGTCCCGGCGGGGATGATCCCAGCAGCCAAGGACAACTCTTCAGCGAAGGGCACGGGTGTGAGCCTAGCGGCCACACTTTTGCACCCAGGGCAGGCGCCTCTGGCTTGGAAAGGGGACCCGCTGGGCAGATGGCCTTAGGTGTCCACTACAGCACCTCGGGGGGCAGGCAGGGAGGGGACTGGAGGCAGAGCGGGGTCTCACCTCTGGGATGCCGTTGCCTGACACCGTGCTCTCCGAGGGCCAGAGGCATCCTTCCTGTGTGGGGAGGAGAGGGGCAGGGTCAGCGGGAGGAACAGATGTGGGAGCGCAAAGGGTCAACTGGCTTTGACCCTGAGGTCTTGTATGTGGAATCAGATCTGGCAACCAGCCCCTCCTCTCCAGCCTCACCCTGCTACCCTGGCCTGGGCCCGGCCATTTCTCAGACAGGACCACAACTGCCTTGTCACTGATCTCTCGGTCCTCTGCGCTGTGCCTTGAAAATTCACCCCCCACACTCACACTTTCCAAAGCAGACATCTGATTTGTGGGACCCTCCTTCTCAAAACCCTCCAGCAGCTTCTCCTGCATCTTAGAATGAATCAAATTATCTCGTGAAATGGCTGATGAGGAAGCCTGGCGTGATCGAGCCCTCCTGGCCTTGACCTGGCCCACTTGCTTGCAGTGGGACCTTGGCAAGGTACTTAACTTCACGGGGCAGAATATGCCTGGAGTGCACGTGGCCCCCTGTGACTATATCCAAGTGCTGGGGGCCACGCAGACCCGCTCTCTCATGCAAAGTGCTATGCACGCACCCAAGGGCCTTTGCCCCGGCCGCCAGCCTGCACGGCCAGCTCCACAGACTTCCTCTGACGCCACCGTCTAAAGGGCCCTCCCCCAGTAACAATCCTGTCGTAGGCTACTTTCCTTCTCAGCAGCGCTCTTATCTGTAATCAACTTGTCTCTGTATTTATTTACCTCTTTACAGTCTGTCTCAACATGTGTATCAGGAGCCCAGTTGATAGGTAAATACTGGACAAGGTTGGTTAATAAGCAGAGTGCCCCCAATAATGATTCCGTCAGTCAACAAAGGTGCATGAGCCACGACTGCTGTGTCAGGCCTGTTGCTGTCGCCTCATGAAGCTTACACCCTCTGCTGAGATGCCAGGCAGGGCCTGCGGCTCCCTGCACGGGTGGCCGGGCCGCATGGGCTTGGGGTGGGGGACAACTGGGCCGACACACCACGTGCGATTTCAGGCCCTGGGGAGAGACCCAAGGGTCAGGGAAGTGGGACCCCACACCAGGATCAGTTTGTCTGAGAGGGAAGCCCAGACAATGTGGGTTATGTGGTGACAGATCGCCCCGGGGCCTGGGGGGAGGGATGTCTTTTTTAAATTTTACGGCTTTCCATGGGTGTAACTGAGATACAATAAACTACATATTCGAAGTATGCAATTTGGTTAAGTTTTGGCATGTGTCTACACCAGAGACCCATCGCTACAATCAAAATAACATCTCTATCACCCCAAAAGTTTCCCTGGGGGCACGTTTTCTTGAGAGTTCACAGGTAAGACAGTCTCACCTACTGTCTGGGGCCAGAAGGTGAATGGGGGTGGGGGTGGGGGGGGGAACGTGTTGCCCAGAGAACTGCAGTTACCTAAAAGGCCACTAGGGGGCTCCGTGGCTCTCAAAACTGTCCCACCAGGAAAGCACGCGTAAACTTACCCCACACAGACTCACTGCAGTCTCTAGGATGTTCCAGGTGTTTGGATGCAGAAAGCAGACATACAACCTTACTGTTCATGTGGCCATCAAAAGCCGTTTCATTACTGGTATCAGTAATGTATCAATCGCTGCCTCGGTGCCAGACACTGCACTAAGTGCTCTTTAAAGCACTATCTCATTTCTCCCAAGAAACCTACAAGGCAGGCTGACATCGGTTAGCTGAGAGCTGAGTGGGCCAAGCTGGTAAGACGCAGTGCTGGGATTCAAACCCTCACCTGCCTGCCTCCAGACCTACTTGGGCTCAGGCTGGCCCTGACAGGCTCTGTAGCCCCCAGTCGGGCCACTGGCACAGTCCATGTGTGGGCCAGGAAGCAGATGGGGACAGCCACTTGCTCCTCACTAGGGTCAGGAGCCCTGGGGTGGGATGCACGCAGCCAAGGCCAGCTTGGATGAAGTGTGACCCAGATAAACTCCTGCCTAAAACCTTCCTACAAGTCCCTCTGTCCCAGGCTCTGCATGATGTGGCCAACAACCTCTTCCTAACACTGCCCCCACTCCCAGCCCTAACAGATGGGTTATCTACCTGTCACCACCCAGGAAGCTTTAGAAAACACCAATCAATGCCCCAGGAGCCCCACCATAGGGCACCCAAAACTACCCACAAGCTTCGTCATCTGACTACCTCCAACTTGTGTACCTGGAAGTCACTTCCTCCTCCAGGGAGCTCTCCAGGAATCACCCACTGCCACCCTGCCTCCCAGGCTCTCATAGCACCTCAGCTCCGGTATGGGCCTGGCCTGTTGTATAGTAATCGAATGTCCAGCTGGCTACCCTGTACCCGATTTAGAAGCCTTGTGCCCACAGAAGCCATGTGGGAAGCGGAAGACTCATGCCAGGGCTGATTTGGGGACAAAGAGAACAAAGGGTCGCCCCATCCAAGGCTCTGGCTGAGCCTCTAGTCCAAATCTATCCCTGCCCCATGCTGAGCAGGGCTCACACACAAACCATCTTCCAAGAGAGCTATGGGTAAAGTGGTCATCGCTGTTCAAGATGCATAAACTTTGGGGGAAAAATGAAAGCTGCTAAGGCAAGGAATTCAGAGCAGGGAATGTTTGAAAGCAAAGCTCAGGGACGCAGGAACAGCTCAGAAATGAGGAGGCTTCCTGGGTGGGGCTGGGCGGCACCTGTGCACTCAGGTGGAACAGTACCCGCCTTACAAGTAACACTCCCCTCCCCTGCCAACCCCAGGACAAGCCCCTTCGGACCCAGCTTCTGTGCCACCATGGTGGCTAGATCACCACTGCGGTTACCATTATGCAACACAGAGTGGCTTCCCTGGGAACAGCATGGGGCGGGGGGGGTGGTGGTGGTGACATTCTAGGGCCAGTGGCGTACCTGCACTTGAGCCTCATTCTCTGACAGATGAGCAAATGGGGTCACCCTGAAAAGGAACCGGAGCAGGACAGTCATGCGAGGGGCAGGCCCAGCCCCAGGCAGTGGCCAGGTCTGGATCTCCGTGGGAGGTCACGGGGTCCTGAGACGCGTCCGACGCACCCTGTCTGGCAGGGGGTCCCCAAGGGAGCTGCCACACTTACTTCAGGCCTAACAAGGCTCTGTGTTTACCCAGCCGGGCATCCCCAGGGGCCCCTGCAGGTGGCTGGGTAGATGCGGGCGGGGACTTTCCTTTGGCTTCAGGTGTCCAGGAACCAGGGCTGGAATTAGACCCCCCGTCTGGGCACCAAGTCCCAGGTGCTGCCGACAGAGCTGTCTCCCTGGCCCTGCCGGCAGCCAGGATCCCTCACGCTGGAACTTTGGACATCTCCCCAGCCCTCTGGGCCAGCATCATCCTGCCCGTGACCACACATATGGGGGAGGACGCAGAAAGGCTACCTCCACCCGCCTGACAGACTAAGGCTCAGAGGGGCCAGGTGGCCCAGCCTGGGTGTGGGCCGCCCCTTGCTGCAGCACCTGAGGCAGCACGGATGGGCCTGGGCTCTGCAAAGGGCCCCTCACAAGCTGCCGGGCTTGGGGCAAATGGGCCCACCTGTCTGGGCGGCAGTCTCTCCCCCGTGGGGTGGGGTTTCTGGACTGCTGTGAGCCGGGAGGCCCCGGGGCGAGGGAACAGCAGACGGCGCGGGCACGTGGGGGACAGCCACCGCAAACTAACACACATGAGCCGTGGCCTAGGGGGCGGCAGACGCCTTCAGGATGGCAGCACCGAGTGCCCTCCGGACCCACGCTGAGCCCCAGGCTCGGGGCACGCCGTGTTCCCGTCGGGGGGACCAAGTGGAAGCTCCCAGCCCTGGCACGCTGCTGACCCACGCACTGCGGCCGCAGCCTGATGCCGGTGCAGACGCCCTGGCTCCGCCCCCGACTCGGGGCCCCACCGCCCAGCGTGGGCATCCTCCAGACCCGAGAGGCCACGCCTGGTGCTGCCTCCCTGCTCGTCGCTGTCCTCACAGGCTCGGGCCCACAGCCCTGGGGCCACCCACGTGCCGCCACCTCCCTGCAAATCCCAGCCTGCCCTTCCGACAGCTTGTTAAATCACTCATCGCCCGTGTGGGGGCAGGAACCCCTTGGCACAAACTCTGCACCCGCGTTGGGTCCACCTGCTGAAGGGGGGGGCAGGGCACAGTTCAGCCCCGACGGCACAGGGAGTGAGGGACCCTGGCGCTCACAGCTACAAAAAGCCAAGTTACCACCCTGCCGGGCCCCTACTTTGTGGAGTCTGGAGGAGATAATTCTGGATTTTCAGAATGCCCAATGAAGCTCACAATTCTAATAACATGTCAAAATGCAGTGTTATGTTAGCAGCAAGGACCCCTTTCCAGAGCAGCGTTTGTCCTCACCTGCCTGGACCCATCCATCATCACTTCCTCCTTCCGAGTTCGGCCTAAGAGGCTCATCCTGACCGTCCTGGCCAAACACGGCACCCTGGCATCCTCGGGGACAGTCACTTCAGTTTCCTTCAGAGCCCTCGAGATCGTCTGATTTAGGTGCTCCTGTCTGTCTGGCCCCCAGGCAGCAACCACATGGGGCTTGCTCACGGCCATTCCTCCCAGTGTCTGGGAGGGTTCTAGGCCCTCGGCTCTGTAAGTGTCTGACCAGTGAATGCATGCATGGACACGTGGGTGCTGGATGGAGGGATGGATGAGTGACTGAGTGAAGGGAAGTGCTCGCACGTGGCCCTCGATGCCTGGCCGCTGACTCCGTGCTAAGCGAATCCTCTGGGGAGCAGCATGACCGTTAGCCCCTCTCACAATGAATGGCAAGTGAAACCCCATTTCATGGATTGGGGACTGGTCCGAGGGCACGTGGCCAGGCCCAGCGGAGCTGGGAAGGGCCTTTTCAGGGTGACATGTTGCGTCCAAGACACTGAGAGTCCCCCGCCCAGACGCCTGCAGGCTGTGGGAGAGAGGCAAGGGCCAGGGCTGCAGGGCTGTGGGCTGAGGTCTCATCACGCCTTGGCCTGTACCTCCAACGCCCTCGTCCATCGCCTGCCCAGCAGCCTCCCCTGTGGCCGCGACTGCCTCCTTCCCGTTCCGGTGAGCACCCGACCCGGGACACCAGGGCGCTTCCCTAAGGGGCATCCCGCTGACCCTGGGAGCTCAGGGTGCGGCCAGGAAGGGGGACGGGGGCAGGGCACTTACCGAAGAGAGGGCATCTTCTCTCCTCCTGCCCTGGCTGTGCCGGCCGATGAAGGAGCGCGCCGACAGCTTGTAGTGGCTCAGGAGGCATGTGATCACCACCACCATCACCATCACCACCACCACGATGATGGCGATCTCAACAAACTCCAGCTCTGCTGCAAGACCAGGGGGACACGTGAGCCTTGGGGGGCCGACACAGGCCTGCAGAGCATTCGCTCACCCCCCACGCACACCCCAGCACGCACACCCAACACTCACGCACACACCCCAGCACACACACCCAACGCTCACGCACACACCCCAGCACGCACACCCAACGCTCACGCACACACCCCAGCACGCACACCCAACGCTCACGCGCACACCCCAGCATGCACACCCAACACTCATGCACACCCCAGCACACACACCCAACACTCACGCACACACCCCAGCACGCACACCCAACACTCACGCACACACCCCAGCACGCACACCCAACACTCACGCACACCCCAGCACGCACACCCAACTCATGCACACACCCCAGCACGCACACCCAACACTCACGCACACACCCCAGCACACACTCCCAACACACACGCACACCCCAACACACACACAGATGCACACACACCCCAACACACACACACACACCTTCCCCAAAACACAGCTAACCCACAAATATACACAGAGCACATACCCACAGGCACACACATGTATCACAAACATACCCCACCCCCGACAGGACAGGACAGGACTGGGTGCAGACCCCCCCAACCCAGCTCTTGGGAGGGAAGCCTCAGAAAAACCACATCCCCGGTGCCTGCAGATGCCGCCATTCGCCTTTCTTTTTTCTTTTTCTTTCTTTCTTTTTTTTTTTTGGTGTTGTTTTGTTTTTCCCCTCGAAGGCGGAAAAGCCCTCAAGTGCTGGAAAAGGAAGGAGGTTATTTTGATCCTGCCAGAGCCGGGGCGGTTTCTGCTGACTCGCGCGGGTCCGTGTCGAGGCGGCTGGGCAGCTGGCCGCGGCCGGTGCCAGCCGAGCCCCCAGCAACGGGCAGGACGCCAGCGCCGGGTCCTGCCGGGGACCTGGGTGGTGACACGGCAGACAGCTGCGCCAGAGCCGAGCCCCGCCAGCCTCCTCCAGCCCATGGCTGTCCACCGGGGGCCCAACACCCTGACGCCCGTCGCTAACAAGCAATTAGTCGAGGGCTCCCCAGGGCATAGGTTCAAGCTCAGGGCCACTGACTCAGCTCTTCCTCCTCCAAGACAGACAAACTGCAGCGGTGGGGGGTGTGTGTGTGTGTGTGTGTGTGTGAGTGCGGGTGGCAGGGGGTAAAGTGGAAAGCAACAGGAACATGAGGTGCGGCTGTGTCAAGGGCTCTGGCCACTCACGCTGGGCCCACCCAAACTCCAACCCTGCGAGGGCCAGCCCCTCCTGCCTCAGTTTCCCTGCGGCTTCCGGCAGGAAAAGCAATGCGTCCTAGGTGGGAACGTTACTGTTCGCAAAAGAGTGGAAGCTTCTCCACACAGAAACCCCCCCCGCCACAGCATCCTCTCCAAAGCCCTGGCCACCCCCTTCCTCCCATGCAGGCTCCCCAGGACAGCACCTTCTCATGCGACGTTCTGTGTTTGCCCAACTGCACCGATGTTTACCTATCACACTGCTAGTACCTATTGCTGTTATTAAGTCGGGTGAGTCTGCCCACCAGGGGCCATGTGGCAATTTCTGGGCACACTGGTGGCTGTCACAATTGGGGGGCACTCCAGGCATCTGGTGGGTGGGGGCCTCCTACAGGGCACGGGATGCCCCACGGTGAAGAATGGTGGGTCAGCGGCGCCAGGCTTGAGAATCCCTGTCCAGGGCTGAGTGTACATTCGGGACACTTTTATCATCCTATCTCACGGGCCAGGAGAGCAAGGTCCAGAGGTCAAGTGACAGACTCTCAGCCCCAGGGCCCTGTGCTGCTGGCTCCTCCCACCCAACCATCTGCTGGACGACCTCCTGGGCGCCCAGGAACTCATCCTGGAGCCTGGGCCTTGGCTCTGGTTCCCAGGTGGGACCGCGTCCCATCTTGCCCGGAGAGCCCAGGAGGGAGGGCGAACTGGCCAGGGACTTCGGGGAGACTGATCCTGAGTGCTGAGAAGGCTGGGGCCCTGCCCAGCAGCAGATCAAGCAAGCTTGGATGGAACCATTGGAGGGACACCGTCACTTTCCTGCCAGTAAGGCGGGCAGCAGGGCCTCGGACCCAGTAACTGAGGCCACACCTCCTGCCTCCCCAGACAGGCTGGTCCAGGGCTTCAGCAGCCTGGTCTGATTCCCTAGGGCAGGGCCCTGTCTGTTAGGGCCCCGGATAAAGCTGCCCATTCAGGGTACACACAGGCTTGCTTTGTGCAACCCCCACGCCCTCCCTCCTCAGAGGGGCCGACACGTCCCTTCCCCCAGCCCCGTGCACTCTTCACCCCAATGGGGACCACGGTGGTGGGTTCCCTCCTGCCCCCTCCCCCTGCTGTCTCCAGTGGCCCTGCCCACACGAGCCTGGAGGAAGGGAGGTGTGCGGCTGGGCTGCTTTTGTCCTTGTCCCAGGCCCTGGCCCTCCTCCTGGTGTTTTCCGGGACCCAGAAGGGAGCAGCAAGACAGCAGCGGAGGCAGCTGGGTGGCAAGGGGGCAGTGGGTGAGGCCCCGGCAGGCCAGTGGGGGTGGACAAGCCCTCCACAGCTCTCCTGACCCCACCAGGCTGGGCCCAAAGGGCAGGAGAACACATTTCTGGGAGAGAATCACCCCCCAGAAATGAGCCTAGCGCTGCTAGAGACACAAATGTGCCCACCCAGGGCCTGGGCCACAACCCCAGGAAATCCACGTGGCTGAGGGGAGGAAAAACTCTCAGAAAAAGAGAAGCCATGACTGATTTCTGGGCTACATTCTGGAAGTCAAAGGCCTGGCTCTAGGCCCAGAAGAGGAATGGGATGCCGAGGGTCCCTAAGCTCTGCTACAGCTCCATCAGGGGAGCCCGCCAGGTGTGAGCCTGGACCTCACCTCCCAGTCCATCCCAGCTTCCCCATGTAAAAGGAGGCTACGGGCACCGGGTGGCTGTGTGTGGACAATGTGCTCGGCACTCAGGGAGCACTCCCTCCATGACCATGATTAATGGGGGGCTCCCATCACCCCAGCACAGCAAAGCAAAGGAAGCCCAGACCCATAAGCCAACAAAGAGAGGACTAAGCAGAGCCGCGCTGGATCTTCCAGGCCGGGCCGAGGCCCAGTGGCACAGGTGGGTGGGGGCGCTGAGGGGTCCAGAAGAGGCCCCCAGCCAGCAGTTGGTTCACACCAACCCATAAGGCAGGGCACACCTCTGGGCTGGGTGTGTTGGCCTTGGCTGTGGGGTGAGGGGGATCTGGTCCTGCCGATAGCACTTCCATGCACTTTCGCTCTGGGGGCTCCTTCCAGGAGATACCGCCTTTGGGGGACAGAACCTACTCTCCAGGAAACGTGCCAGGAAAGCACCTGCTGGAGAGGTGGCAAACTGCAGGCCACATGTGCATGTGTTTCCGCACCCCCCCCCATGCCCCCGACCCCCCCCAGGCACAGAGCTTCGGGCAGGCAGCTGCCTTCTTTCTACAGGCTGGTGCTGTCCGCTTGGCCCCGTTGGGCAGCTTGGGCTTCTACACCCCCGGACTCCTCTCTCCCGTGCCCAGGCAGGCTTCATGAACCAAGCGTGAGCTCCCTCTCCCTAGACAGGCACTACTCCTTGAAACCCCAGCCACTGAACAGTCCGGCGGCCGAGGCAGGCCGGCCCCGTGTGGTCACACCTCCCAGATCTCTCCAGAACCCAGAAACCATCTGTGAAGCTCCCTGGCCTTTGGCTGGCAACACGTTCAAGAGTTTTAAAAGAGTTTAAAAGCCCTGGGCAGGCCAAAGCCTGCAGGGCGGGTAGTTTGGGGATTTCCAGCCACGAGAGGAGCCCGAGTGACTCAGCTGCTAGGGGCAGACAGGGGGCCACACTGATGCCACCTGGCTCCTTCCGTCTGACAGACCTTCCCTCCACCTGCACGTAGGCCCCGGGGCGGGTCCTACCACTGCCCTCCCCGCTCCGTGGCTTTCACCACATGAGTCACAGCCAAAGCCAGCCAGCTCACAGACAGGGGGGGACGGGGCAAGGGGGGGGGGGTGGGCGGGCTGGTCAACAGCCCAAACTCACCACAGTCCCTGGAGTTGGTACTATGACCCCAACGGTGACAACAGCCACACAGAGCCCGCCTCCCCTATGTCTACGGGGCGGCGGCCGCCACCACCGCCCCTCTGCAGATGAGCACACCGAGGTGCAGGGCGGAGGCACGCCAGACCGCGCGCCTAGAAGGAGCCGAGCTGGGTCTTCAAGGCCGAGCCCCCCTGAGGGTCTTGTTCTACTACGTTCTTGCAGCTCTCCCAAAGCGTCCTTTAGTTTCCCCTCCGCACATCCTGAGCACCTATGAGGATGGCCGGTCCTGCCTCCCCGCATCTGCTCCGAGCTGGGTGACCCCGGGCACGCGGACCTCCGAGAGCCCCAGTTATGACCTGGCGTCGGGGCGATGAGATAAACGTAAGAGCTCAGACGAGGCAGGACACAGCGGGGGCACAACTGCCGACACCCCTCAGTCAGGTCGATGTCCTAGAGACGCTGAGAGGTTTGCCAGGCCGACTGCTCGGCCGGGGCACCTGCCTGGCCTATGCCCCAGGGTCGGGGGTTTGGAGCAAGGTCAGTCCAGTGTGGTCCCCCCGGGCGACAGCCAGACGCGAGGCCACGAGGGACTCGGAGCACCTGTCCTGCTCCCGCTCCAAGGGCCTGGCTGCAATAGGAGCCCTTGGGAAAAAAACACATTTCTCTCATCTGGTTCCGGGCGGAGGCCTGCTGGCCGTGGGGAGGGCGGGGGAGCTCTGCCATTTCTCTTCCTAATTTCCCCCTTAGGGTGGGTGAGAGATGCGGCAGGCTCTCGGGGGTGGCCAAGCCTGTCTTCCACATGCAAAGTAAGGTCACTCTAATTTAATTTAGCGTCTTCTTTCCTGGTGAATAATTTCAAATTAACAGGCTCGTCTGCCTCCTCAAAGTGGCCTGACCCTCCCTTTTGTCTTCTCCTCCAGGGAGAGACACAGTCACTTTGAGATGTTTGCACACCCATCTCGGGTCCTTTCCCAGCC